ATTGCCTGCGCATATTCCTAACACTCTGCGGCCTTTCTGCATAGAGAGGTTTGGGAGAAGGACGTTTACAATCTTTGCGGGCCGCCATTCTTTCAGACCTAGGAAACTGAATGGATTTACCGGCTTACGGCTCTCCTCCCCTGTCGAAACCTTCGAAAGCAGGCAACTGTGTATGTATGTCCGAGTCCATCACGCGGGATGAAAGTTCAACAAGTCAGACCCTAAATGACGGTCAGCAAACTATCAAGGCGCCAGAAGGCAATTACCGTTAATTGTAGTTATATGTTTGCAGCAATGAATGTAGCCTATAACTACTGCAGATTCCTATACATATGCTACCCGTTTCTGCTTTTACTTTCTGCTTACGTCTCTGATGATGAATCCGCGACGGATATTGAAACACTAGGCGAATAAAAGTATTGCCTCAGCGGTCGACTTATTTTCTTCTCATATTTGCCGTTATTAACTAAATTCTATACAGAGAAGTGGAACCCACCTCCACTTGGTGTAAATCTTACGATGGAAGTGGATCCGAGGAAGCAGGTTTCGTTCCGTTAACTAGACGACTGCCTACCGACTTGAGTATACGTGCTACCGATAAGTAAAGCAATGGTCCATTACATCTGAAACGCAAGTAAACCTCGCTGCAATACCGTAGCTTCCTTATTTTCCTCTTTCCCTATGTCAACTGAAATTCTGAAATATGGTTTAGATTCAAGAACATTAATTAATTATGGTTGAAAGAATGATTATCGAGCAGCCTGATACCAACATTTTCCAGTCACGATACGATGTCGGCTTTTGAGCCAGTTTCTTTATGACCATCTGCGAAGACGATGTTCTGTAAAAATTGGCTACCTATTTAACATGCATATTTTTCATTGATGAGCATGAGCACCAGCTCGCGATCAGCCGCAGGGATAAGCTGTCTTTAGTCTATAAACACGTACAGCAGAAGAACCACATCTTCATCTTCGAGAAGGATAAGAGGCCAAGCCAATAAAAAGATGGCTAGACTCCTGCTGGAAAGTTGGTCTTCGACTAGCCCACTTAACAGAGCCATATACCTTCATCCCACCTAGCGCGCATTACGCCCAAGGGTCGAGTCAGTTCGAATAAAGCCTATAGGACGGCGAAACAGACCCAAGCGTGGACTGAAACTGAGATCAGAGAAAAGTAGGAGAGGGGTCGGCCAGGAAACACGTGATCAGCGTGGAATACCACCTCACGCTGGCAGTCAGACCTGATTAGTCGGTCGGTGGACGGGGGAAAAGGCAGAAAGCACGCTGGCTTACCAACAATTACGACAGCCGCAAACGGGACAAAGGTCACACGAGCCCCCTAGCGGTCAAGCTCGCGGACAGTCAGCAGCGAACAAGCAAGGCAAAGTTCCTGCGTCGAGCACGGATGTAATACCCAGCATGCAGCAAGGCTGATTCAGTTCCGGTAAACAGGGAAAACCGCCACTTACTCTGACGATGGAAACAAGCGAGTGTCCGAAACGTCAGTCCCAATATAACTCGTTCCATTTCCTTGTACCTTATCCTTCGTTTTCTTTTGGGGATTACGAACACGATAAAATTCGAATATATACTTAATAGAAAACATAACAAAATATACCGGGCGTTGCGCACAACGGTCCAGTCAGTTCGAACAAGGCCAACAGGAAAGCAAAATAAACTCGAGTGTGGTAAAAAACCATCTTCGGAGGTAAAAAGGGAAAAAGCCGGCCAGGAACCACATCACCGCCGCGCCCAAGAGGTTGAGATCAACCCAGGCGAGCAGGAACATTCGTCAGTCGGCGATGAACATGTCAGCCACTACGCTGACTTGCGACAGCCGAAAGGTGAGCGGAGGTCACACGAGCTCACCAGCGATCAATATCATTGTCAGTCAATATCGATCAGGCAGGTCAAAGTTCGTGCGCCGAGCGCGGATATCATAACAGGCACGCGTAAGTCTGCAACAGTCCCGGCGAACAGGAACAATCACACAGTTACTCTGACGATGGAACCGAGGGTGTCCGAAACGTCAGTCCCAAAATAAAAAGATCCATGTCCTCGTATATACTTCTTCCTCTTCTTTGGGGAATGGTGAAAGCGATAAAATATTCTCTCAATGATAAATATGCGTCCTCAAACCTTAACGAGTTATTCACTTTTCGTTTAACATAATATATATAGCGTATAATTTGAAGAACTTGAATTCATGTGTAACAGCTGGTAGGATTCAACACCGAAAGATTCTAACTTCTCACGTACAAAATTTGCAGCAGGCCTAATTTTCTACAAAACGCGTACTAGAAAGAAGAATGTTGTTCAAAGTGTCCATAAAATATATCCGAATTTATAAAAGCTTTAAAAAGTAAATATGAAAATGCATACTGCTTAGATAGCCATTTTCACAGAACATAATTTTGCATGCTAACAGAAAGCAGCCCGTTCAAAAGCCGGCATCCTATCCTGAATAAATTGTGTTTAGATTAGAATACACGACCATCATTCTTTCAATAATACTTCATTAATACGTTCCAATCGAAAACCGTTTCAGAATTTAGACTGGCACTTCATGAAGTAGGGAGTCTACGGTACGCTGGGTTCCGATCGTGTCGAGAGTTGTCAATCACTGCAGCCCTCTAGGGCTACCGAACCGGATATCATAGCCAAACCAGCCCAGATCCCGACGCATAGGACTGCAAATGAAAAGTATTTTCTGGGCTGCGGCTGCAGTCCTTCGCGTCGCTCAAGATATTTCATAAAAATCTTTTAGGGCCAAAGGACGTTCCCTTCTTAAATCAATTAAATCAACCATTTTATAGCGCACCTTCACTGCAGTCGCAGGTGACAGCTTGGAACAGAAATGCGCAAAAATCGCGGTCACTCTGTTGAAGCTTACTTCTGAAGTCGGTGACGACAAGATGTACCGTGTCGTGCGGACTAAACAGGCCTCGATGCTGAAGCCGTTGCGGTCGCGGTGACAGCGGAAGGCAGGTACAAGCAGCGTGCATGTCAAGAGTCGGTCAATGCAGCCACAACATTAGCCACCCTGATGACCCACGTGGTTCCGTGAACCTACTTCGTGGAGGTGTGAGACTGTGAGGACCATCAATTATCACCGGCGAGGAAAGGCGAGAAGAAACTATGGGGGGTCCCCCTATTCGCACCCACGAGTGGCACGTTTGATCCACGTGCCATACGGCAATGCACCTGCATGCTACATGCTGAGAGCTGTGAAAACTGCTGGCCGTACGTGACATTTGAAACCCCATGAAAACACCACGGCAACCCCCGGCCGGGGACGTACTTCCTCCTCTCGACGGTGTGTGAACGGTTAGAAATTTTTGAATGGATTTGGCGCAGGAGAGGACTGACGCGGACATTTTTAAATAAAATGTTGACGACAATATTTCTATAACTAAGGCCAAGGGGCCCCGTCATTACACACTAAGGGCTATGCGCAAAGATTTGAGGTCCAGGTGTCTTATCGTTTTCATTTTCCCCCGAAGAAGACGAAGAGAAAGGTTCAAGGACATGGACTGAGTTATACTGGGACTGACGTTTTGAACACTCGCTTGTTGTCATCGTCAGAGTAACGTGGTGGTTGTTCCAGTTTGCCGGGACTGTTTCAGCCTCGCTGCATGCCTGTTATTATATCCGTGCTCGACGCACGAACTTTGCCTTGCTTGTTCGCTGCTGACTGTCCGTGAGATTGACTGCTGGCGGGCTCGTGTGACCTTTTTCCCCTTTGCGGCTGTCGTAATTGTTGGCAGGTCGGTGCGCGTACTGACCTGTTCCTCGTCCACCGGCGGAATAATTACTTGTTGCTGCCCGTATGAGTTCATGTCAACCTCGTGTGCGCGGTAGCGATGAGGGAACGTTCCATGCTGATCACCTGATCCCTGGCCGACCCCTCTCCTATCTTTCTCTGATCTCAGTTCTACCCCACGCTTTTGTCTTCTTCGCCGTTCTGTTGGCCTTGTTCTAAATGACTCGAACCGTTTGCTTACCGCCTGGTAAGCAGGATGAAAGTCTATGGCTCTGTTAAGTGTGCCAGTCGAAGAATAACTTTCCAGCAGGAGTCTACCCATCTTGTCATTGGCTCAGCCTATTACCCTTGCATTATCGAAGGCAAAGGTGGGTTTCTTCTGCCGTACCTGTTCATACACCCTATACAGCTTACTTTCGCGGTTGATTGTGAGC